CAAGGTCAGAAGGCAGGCAGCAATCAGGAGAAGCCAGGTACAATCCTGGTCAAGATACAGGAGCAGTAGTCAGGCAGAACAAACAGGATCACAGGGACAAGCTGAAAGACCATCCAGCAACTAATCCCAGGCTGCACATGCTTTAAATAGGGTGATCAATCCGTGTAAATTCAAAATCTTCCCGGCGCAAATGAATCACAGCAAGCCCTCCTCCTGAATTGATTCCACCTGATCACACTGGGGCAGCTCCACAAGGCAGGGAACCGTAACAACTATGAAATGACAATTCAGACGTACTGCTTCACTTTCTGTGCACCAGATTAGCGCGTCTGTGCGCTATCGTCCCATTGCGCGCGCATGCGAGCAAGTGCCCGTTATCCTATGGTACGAAAAACAGGACCACGCACATGCGCAGTAGACCTGGTTACCTTACACACACATTAGTGCATCTCTGTATTCATTTATACACTATTAAATGCATTTTATAATGACGGTGTATCTTATCCCATTACTTTCCTTAAAGGAGAACTATGGGGTTAGGGCTTTTCCCCATAGTTCTCCTTAGGGTAATAGGAGGACACAAACTAGCGTCCTCCCGTCACCCTAGGCTCAGTATACCGCGAGCTGTAGCGAGCTGTATACTAAGACGCCGCACCTGAAGCAGATCCCGACAATTGTGCCGGGATCCGCCCAGCTGCGTGACTGACAGCTGGCTCTGCCTATCTAGAGGCAGAGCCAGCTGTACCCTCCCCCATCCGTTCCGCCAGTCAGCGCTGGAGGATCGGAGCGGGGAGAGGTGAATCCAGCCCCTCCTCTGTCACGGCAGAGAGCTGTGACAGGATCGAGAAGTGAGCGAACGCCGGTATGTGTTCACTCACCTCCCGATCTACTGAGCCGACCTCTGACAGTCTCATTGTCACAGGTCGGCTACAACTATGAGGTGAGTGAAAAGCGCTCACCTCATACTTCTCCTTTAAGCCATAGTCCAACTTTTGCCAAAAGTTAATAAACGCACACACATTGTAATAGTAAAAAAAAAAGTGTGATTATTAATTTTTTGCAATGGAGCCTGCAAAGCATTGTAGTCAGGGCCGGCCTTAGGGGTGTGCGAGCAGTGCGGCCGCACAGGGCGCCATGGCAACAAGGGCGCCGTGCTGACATTAGGGGTCTTGGAGACCCCTGATGTCTCCATAAAGAGGACCTGTCACATATTTTGCTATCACATAAGGGGGTTTTCTAACCCCCCTATGTGATAACAATAAAGTTTCCCCCCCAAAAATGTAAAGTTACAGATAAAAAAGAATTACATTTTTTTTAAAGTCCCCCCCATACATACACGCATGCAAACAGGCGTCGGGTGCGCATAAGTGTGGAAACGACGATTTCGCCCATTACGCCGCACATGTTACATATCGCCGCGAACGTCGGAATGAGAGCTATAATTGTAGGGCCATCAATCACTGATAACACTAAACTGATGAGCAGTAAAAGCTTTTGAAGCGTCACCTATGGTCAATTTTGGGCATTGTAATTTTTTGCGATTTCGCGGGTGCGCGCAATTTTAAAGCATGACATGTTTGGTGTCTATTTACCCGACGTGACCCCGCTTTTTATATTTTACCAAAAATATGGGTAATACATGGGTGTGGTTACTGGGGGTGTGGCCACTAAAGTGTGTGGCACTGAGGGGTGTGGTCACTGAGGGGCGCTGTAAAGCTTTCTCGCACAGGGCGCCTAAAGGCCTAAGGCCGGCCCTGATTGTAGTCACGATCACTGGACTACGAGTGCAATGCCCAGGCTCCTGCAGACTATTGCCTCAGCCCGTGTCCATACCAAGGTACAGACAGACTTTCAGTTGTGTGGCTGGAAGAAGTTACCAATGGTGCGGTGACATCTCTGCACTTGTAGTCCATTGAGATCTATTAGACTTGTGAATGGATCTGTGAACGGAGCCAAACGCAGCCACACCGTATTAAATATATACAAGATGAAGAAGAACCCGACAATATGATAAGATGCCCTTTGAGGGAGGCAGGGACGGATTAAGAGCATCATGAGCCTGGTGCTGTCGGTCAGGTGGGAAGCAGCAGAGGCAGCTCTCTAATATGGTGGTTGCTGGCTCCTTGCTGGGGCGCTACGAGGCCCCATCAAGGGGCCGCCTAATATGCCTGATTATAGAGCCGCCGGTGCCTCTACCTGATTGTGTTCAGCCCAGCCAGCCTGAATTGCCATTGGGCATATTGAGGCGATCCAGGCCGGCTGGGACTATTTTTAGTGGTGGGCCTGGAGCTAGCGCTCCAGTAGCCCCTATGTTAATCCGGCCCTGGGGGTAGAGGGAGATTTTGGGTCAGGGGGTTGGGGCTGCGGACTGCGGCCATGTTTCATGTCATACCCTTAATCTGGATGTAATGTGAAACATGATCTGAATGGTGGAATTGGCCTTTAACAATGGACAAAGTACAGGTTCCATTTTTTTTATAACATGAAACTCCCATGATGTAAAAAAAAGAGCCTCCTAATGATGTAAATTCTTCTGGTCTAGGGGGGCGGGTGCATATTGCTGAGTTATATTATGAGCAGAGTATTGGGTGACCAGCATTGATGTACATAACAGCACTACACAACTAAGAGGTCACCAGTGTTCAGGCATACAGGATGATGTAGTTGTACAATTGTTCTTCTTATACTTTCCACTGGACCTGGTCTTTTCATCACGTAAAATGTGCCTGATGCTATTTATGATGGGGGAGGGGACTCTGATATATTAAGTGGGCCTTGCTGCAAGGTCCCCTTCAAAGCCTAACTCCAGTTTAAAACTAAAAAAACCTCTCATCCCTCCCATCCCTCCCGCCCTCCTTCCCTTCACTAATTGCTAGGCTGTATAAAAAAAACTTTCCAAGTCCAGTTTTTCACTTGCCTAAACTCACAATCACATGATCAACCAGCACTGAGTCTTTCCTCTCTCTGTAAACTTTCTACAGGGTCCTTCTTCCAGGTGTCCATGTCCCTGCCTGTGTGAGGTGGACAATTCACATTGGCTGTCCACCAGAGGTGTCCTCTCAAGATCCAGTGGACTACAGATGTCACCTAACTTAACTCATGATCACATGATCACCCAGCACTGGGCCCTTCTTCTCTTTGTAATCTTCCTGCAGAAGTCCTTCTTTCAGGTGTCCTCGTCACTGCCTGTGTGACGTGGATAATTGACATTGGCTGTCCACCAGAGGTGTCCTCTCAGGATCCAGAGGACAACAGACGTCACTTACCTTAACTTGTGATCACATGATCATCCAGCACCAGGTCCTTCTTCTCTCTGTAAACTTCCTGCATGGGTTCCTTCTTCCAGGTGTCACGTCACTACCTGTGTGATGTGGACAATTCCCATTAACTGTCCACCAGAGGTGTCCTCTTAGGTTCCAGAGGATACAGATGTCACTTTCCTTAACTCGTGATCACATGATCATCCAGCAGTGGGTGCTTCTTCTCTCTCTAAACTTCCTACAGGAGTCCTTCTTCTAGTTGTCCACCTCAATGCCTGTGTGATATGGATGATACGTATAGGCTGTCCACCAGAGGTGTCCTCTCAAGATCCAGAGGACTACAGACATCACTTTCCTTAGCTCGTGATCACATGATCATCCCGCACTGGGTCCTTCTTTTCTCTGTAAACTCTTTTCAATGGGTCCTTCTTGCAGGTTCCCCTGGTAGGCAGCCAATGGTAATTGTCCACATCACACAGGCAGTGATGTTGACAATACCCATTGGCTGTCCATCAGAGGTGCCCTCTTAGGATCCAGAGGACTACAGACATCAGCCCATGGGGAGTCAAGGGGACTGAGGGTTACTGCGCAATGCTGGATTAGCAGTCCTTGTCAGCAGAGGTCCTGGATTGGGGAGACTCAAATGAGTATAACTTGCTTTAAAAGGTATGGGGGAAAAAAGGATTGGGTAGAGTGGGGTGGAAGAGAAATGGATTTTTAGTGGAGTTGGGCTTTAAGAACATTTTTGGTATCACTGTCCACTGTTGTATCATTAAATACTGAAATTGGGGGGGGGGGGGGGGGGGTTTCTATACGAGGTTT